GTTTTTTTGAGAAGTTAGAAAGATTAGTTTACTAGATGACGTGTAGAAAAAATTTGGAAAAAATTGCGAAGAAAGTAGCGGAGGTCGTTTTTACAACTTTTTTATCTCAGCTCGTAATGAAAATTTAAAAAATACGTTTTGTAGATCTATGTGAATTATACATACGCTGAAAATTTCATCGAAATCGATGGATGGAGAAACAAGCGACAGGCATCGAAAGATGTAAGAATGTTCAGATTTATTAGTGAAATAGTGCGATTTTCACAATCTTTAACCGTTTGTAGCTCACAGCAACGTTAACCGATTTCGATGAAATTTTCAGCGTGTGTATAATTCACATAGATCTACAAAACGTATTTTTTAAAATTTTCATTACGAGTTCAGATAAAAAAGGTGCAAAAAACGACCTTCGCTATTTTCTTCGCAATTTTTTCCAAATTTTTTGCACACGTCATGTAGTAAACTAATCCTAACTTCTAAAAAAAAATTTGGGTCGTTTGGCCCAATTTTAAAAAAGTTATTCCATTTTATAGGGTGTATGAATACTTTTTTCGGTCACTGTACACTACCGTCCATAAGTCACCGGACAGTAGGACAAATTGAGTTGCAGGAAATTTTATAGAAGGAAGTGACCTATATTATGAAATAAAATTGGTGTTTATTGTATGTATATAATGTCAAAAATATGTCCTACAAATTATATGTTAAAAATCTTACGAAAGGTGTATAACTAATCCTATATCCTCTTTCCGTCGATATATCCGCCTCGTGCGGCTATGAGCGCTTGAACTAACAGTGGTATTCTTTTGGTTAATCTTTTTAATATTTCTCGAGTAATTTCTTTCCAAGCGTATTCTAACTTCTTCCATATATCTTTCTTTGATTTTGGGCACGTTCTCCTTACCCTTTCTCAATCGGGTTGAGATCGGTCGATTGTGGGGGCCGTGTCATCATCTGTAATTCGTTACTGTTTTCTAAGTCCTTTAAAAAGTATTTACAAATTTTCACAGTGTGTTTAGGACCGTTATCCTGTATAAGTATAAAGTTTTGTCCCATTAATCTTTTTCCAGACGGCACTGCATGATCGCGACGAATGTTCAAATACTGTTTTTTCCTCGATATGTTTTGAATTTCTACCAAATCACCAGGTAGGTTTGTGCCGAATCAACCCCACCCCGTTACAGATTGACCTCCATGCTCCACTGTTGAAACAATACAATCCGTTAGCAATTTTTCACTCGCCCTTCTTCGCACATAAACTCGTCGTTTTGTGCCAAAAATTTCAAATTTCGACTCGTCACTCCGCAGCACTTTTTCCCAATCGTTAGTACTCCAATCTTTACGTGTTTTTGCCCACTGCATCCACTTTTTCTTGTTTTGAATCCTTAAGTGCGGTTTTTTAACAGCAATGCTCCCGCGAAGTCCAACTAGTAAGACACGCCGTTTGACTGTCGTCGAGTAAGTGTTCGGTGACGTGAGCCAAAAAATATTTGGTATCTGTCCCTTCAGAAGAAAAGTTTGCCGCCCCCTAGGTTAGATAATTTCATTTCACCGTTTACCCTCGAATTTTCACCGATTCACCGCCCTTTTCGTGACGCCGATTCGAACGAGAGCTCTCTGCTTTCCCGGCGTGCCTCGAACGTTACCTTCTTACTTAATAATTCGGTTAACAATCGTTCTCAACGGCTAAACCCTTTAATCTTCCACCGATGTCGAGGTTGAAATTCTGCCGCGCGCTGACACAACGACACGACGAAAGAGAGGACAACCGAGAACGAGTAGCCAGGGTGGAAGAGAGAGAAGAGACTGGTCTGCTCTGACAGCCAGGCAGAAGAGTGTCCGAACGTGGACGGAATCGTAAGAGGATTCCACTCGTCCTCGACCCTTTTGGATTTACATTCCATTCGTCACGCGGTGGTGGGTGTATTTGGAAAGGGTTCTATCCCCTCTATCGCAACTACCTCTTCAATTACAGCTACGCTAACAGCCGCTTTTTTCTCTACTGCCTCGCGAATTCGCGCTGCCAGCGTTGATTTGCGTTCCACGCGACCCATTGTACCCTCGCAATATTTGTCCCCGTATTTTTAGTTCACGTTACCGTCTATAGATCCGGAAATACGACGTCGATAGACCTTGTTTTCTCTCCCTCTCTCTGTTTCGCTTACCCCTAGCGACGACAATCTAGGTTACACGGTTTTTCGACGTCTCGACGCTAACGACGCTACCACGACGAAGAAGACGCGACACTTTAAATGTTTTCGCTCGGGAGAATTTGCGACGGGAGGAAACACGAGCGAGAGCGGTATTGCGACGAATCTATAATGTCTGCTCGAACGAAACGTATCGGGAATACGTTACAGCTTGAATGCATTCGATCCAGTCGAAAGTAAAGGATGAACGATGAATCCGAGAGAGGAGGATCCTGCAGTTCGGATGTACATATCTCTCTCGTCTTCTTGTGTTTTCCCATGCATACACGTGCATGCTATTACTTCTCCAGAAATTGCTCCTCGCGTTCCTTTTTTTTTTTCTGTGGAAGAAACTTGTGTGGACATCTTGGACAACGTTTGCCAGAGATCTCCGTTTATTAGTATTTTCTCGTTATTTTCAAGCCTCAGAAAATGCTCTTCACGTTACTGTTTTTCCGAGGAAGAAACTTGCGTGGACATCTTGGACAATGTTAGCCGGAGACCTCTGTTTATTAGTATTTCCTCGTTATTTTCAAGGCGCGGGTAATGAAATATGGATGACGACCGAGGGTCTCGTGAGCGAAGGTAGCGAAGGAATAAGGATTACGGTAAGGAAACAGGCACGCGGACGTGGACGGTAGAGAATATTCCAGGTCTGAATGGAGGTTTGTTAGGATTCAGTGGTTCCACTTTGCTCTGAATTCCCGGCTTGTCCCCTACGGTGCTTCCAATCGAATCGACGAGGAGAATGAGGCGGAAGTAGATACGATCGCAGGACGATCGACTACAGGGGATACGATACCGTTCTCGATCAACCTCGTTGCTCTCTTCTCCCTCAAATTGGCGTCGATTCTCGGTAAAATCGAAGGCATATTGATACTGCTTAATAGACGTGTACCACCAAATCATTTATCTTCGTCCTTTCGTGATATATTACGAGTGATTTCTCTCCTTCCGTTCCATCTCGCCGAATCAATTTTCATTTAACCCCTAAACGGTCGATAAGTGCACCTTTTTAAACCTATTTTCTTTCCATATCGTGCTATCCTTTCCTCGTGCCAAACAAAAGTAAGTTACAGCGTCTTAAATAATACGAAATTTATTTCTATACGCCTAGAAAATGATTGAAAGAAAGACAAAATTGGCGCATCTTTCATTTAACCCCTAAACGGTCGATAAGCGCACCTTTTTAAACCTATTTTCTTTCCATATCGCGCTATCCTTTCCTCGTGCCAAACAAAAGTAAGTTACAGTGTCTTAAATAATGATAAATTTATTTCTATACGCCTAGAAAGTAATCGAAAAAAGGACAAAATTGATCTCATTTGGCGCATCTTTCGTTTAACCCCTTAACGTTCGATAAGCGCACATTTTTAAACCTATTTTCTTTCCATATCGCGCTGTCTTTAAGTTACAGCGTCATAAATAATGATAAATTTATTTCTATACGCCTAGAAAATGATTGAAAGGAGGACAAAATTGGCGCATCCTACATTTAACCCCTCAACGATCGATAAGCGCACTTTTTTCAACCAATTTTCATTTCATATCGCGCTATCCTTTCCTTATAATTTACAATTATAATTACAAAAGCAAGTTCCAACACTGTAAATAACGATAAATTTGACAAAAGGCCTAGAGTTAAAAGGCCTAAAAGTTAAGAAAAATGCGACCGTTAAAGGGTTAAACTGGAAGAAAATTGAAGATCCGTTTTCCACGAGGAAACGAAGGCGTAGCTTCTCGATCGGTTGTTTCGAAAAAACAAGTCTTATCTAGCGTAATCGATTTTCCACATGAAAATCGAACAAAGTTTCCTTAGCCGTGGAAACTGTGCTGGCGTGCACAGGAGAAGAAGAAAAAGGGGTCAAGAACCGGTCTTCTACTTACAAAATCGTTCGACCGAGTGGAAACGATCGGCGGCTTGGCCGACGAGAGGAGCTCCGCACGTTCCAACTCTTTTCTATCGAATTTCTATCAAGCGTGGGACGCTCGTACGGAGTACGTGACACGTATCGAACATCGTTGCTCCCGATGTACCGCGAGACATCGATCCGGTGTAAACACACCGGCTGTCGCTATAGAATCACCATTTTGTTCTTTTTCCCACTTTTACACGCGGCTATCGAGAACTCTTGCCCGTTACTCCTTCGCGAACCGCTTTTTAATTTCATCGCTGGCCACACTTGCTTCCCCGCGATGAAAATTAAAAGCCAAACTACCGCCACGCGATTCTAGCTGAACGTAACAACGAGGACGGTACGTAAACTCTTATTTCGATCTCGTTAGCGCGCATTTTAACGTTGTAATCAAGGTATTTGGATTTCTCCTGTAAATTCCACGTCTCAAACCCTATTAACTAGTTCGCGAAACAGAACTAGTTACTAGAGAATTAAGTGATCCGCACGCGTCGCCCACGGAATTTCCGGTAACAGTGCGATTATAACGGTTCTCCAGCGTTCCTCCCACGCTCGTCGGTGGAACAGTCAAGCACATATTAATTCGCCGGCACACATTCGAACTTTGACTTCTCGATGGCAATCAGAGACCGAGATTGGCAACAGCTCTGTCTCTCGTTTCCATTCAACTTCAGGGGATAACGAGTTCCCCGTTAGAGTCCCTATCGTCGTTCCTCTTTCCATCCAAGGGAGAGCTGTTTTCCAGAATCGATCACGCGTAAACCGCCGATAATTCGTAAAACTAACCAAACTTTCGTGTCTTTTTATTGCGTAGACGACAATGTACAAGGGTACGGCACAAAGACGAGTTACAGAGAAAGATCGCTCGTTCAAGGAAGAACGAGATCGACAAAGCTCAGCTCCTCTTCTTGGGCCTGGCTAAAGACTTCAACCGCCTCGAGCACTTGGCCTTTAAAGCTCTGGGCAACACGGTGAACGCGTCCTCACGTAGGTCCGTCTGCATCCCTGCAGGCCGTTCAACCGGCTTCGCCAGTTTTATCGTCCAAGGGCTAGCTGTGAAATTAAAGACCATGCATCCTGTCGTTTTAATGCTCGCACTTAAGGCGGACAAATGGCCTGAAGGAGAGTTAATTCACCCGGTTGCGACGTGGCGCAGCCGTGGCAGCGGAAAAACGGGCCGTTTAGTTCGGAACGGGGTAATTGGCTAACGTAAAGAATTAGCTCCGCAAACTTATCTCGCGCGAGAGGCATCACCGGGTTGCCCTGCTAATGAGGAAATTTCCAAGAGAAATTTACATTTCTGCCGGCAGCTGCTTAGTCGAGTATCCTCTTTTGTTCGCCGAAGGGAGGATGCCGCGGCGAACCAGTTCGACTGCCCTGGTGAAACAACGCGTTCTCGTTCGGTCGTTTAATCGCGGAAAACATCGTTTTAATTACTCTTCGCCGTTTCACGGTTCGCGAGACCGCGCTGACTCGAAATAGACGTGAAATTAAAGCGATTCCCGGGGCCAGAGATCGGTTAAATCCCTGGAAAACTTCTCCGATTCCGTTCGTTCCCGCCGCTGTTACCCACCAATCTGCACAACTGAATTTTCAACTTGCCCATTCGCCGCCGTTAACTTACTTAGGTAAGCTTTGCCGCGCGATTTTCGCCAACGTCGCTCCTGTAAAATTTCTCGATCCGCTAAACTGCGAGCAAGTTCGCGGCGAAGTAAAAATCGCGGCGAAGAAAAAGGGAGGAGGAGGAAGGTTAAATATCGCGTACCTACGGCTTTTAACGCGCTTTTGTTCACCTCGCCCAGGTTTCGCGGGGCAGGAGTTTCCGGCGTTGACTTGTGCTGTGCGAGAGTTTGAAGACGTTTCGTGATCCTGTAGATGAGAGCGGTTTTCGGGACAGTGAAAGGATCTTTACCTTCCGGAACATCCCTCGACACAGGCGACGACAACTCTTCGATCCTTCGCGTGTTCACCGGCCGCCATTCTTTCTTCTTCCCCTGCAATTCACCGGCTCTCCCTGTATCGATTCTCCGTCGTTGAAACGAACCTTTGTTACCAAGTCTTTTTCCACCCGACCCCCTCTATGACGAGCGCAACGACGGACGCTCGTTTTTCTCTCGTCTCTGCTTTCGTTGTCCCCGTTACGTTTCATCGACATTTCAGACTTGGGTACACGCCGCTGAATCCATCGTCTATCAGACGTCCAAGGATTCACGCGCGCTCCCCCGGTCCGTAATCATTCGTAATTAACCCTCAAACTTTACCCCTTTCGACCGGCATATTCTTTCTCCTACGTTTGGTAGAGAAAAACAAAAACTAAACCGACGCAAACTCTTACATACGAGGAACCTTGGCTTAGGAGGCACTTTCGGCGTGGCCAGTAAGTTGAGCAGTTCCACATGTTGATCCCACTCGTCCGGTTTGATCGCCCGGTGTAGTTTCGCCATTATCTTCTGGCTGAAACAGGGAACGTCCGAGGAAATTGCGCCGAGATGAAAATTCAAATTGAAAACGAGAATCGAATTTAAGCTATTATCGAGCCGCGTAACGAGGACAATTCCTTTTTATTTAATCATATCCAGGAACGAGAGCAGTTTCAGCTCGATACCAGGAATAATGCGAGAACGAAAGGGGAGGAGGAGGAAGCAGCATGCGGTTCTACCTATTTGGCGAATTTCGAGACACCCTTGGGCACTATTAATAATTACATCTAGGGTACTCGTGTCTGCTAACTGTTCACGAGTTGCACACCAAGTTTAATGGTAACGTTGGGTACCCGCGAAAGTCGGCATGGGAAAGTGGAAAGCCAATATCTCGTTTCCCCCCCTGTGTTTGAACCGCGCGAAATCTACGCGGAAGAGGACAGGCTGGTGTACGTCTGGTCGTCCACGATATTCCAACGTCCTCCTATCAACGCTATTCAACGGCTCCGTGAATTTTTGCCTCTCCAAACCTCCAATTTTTCCCTCCCTCGTTTAATTCCCTGAAGAAGTGGCGAAAATTTCAAAGTGGAGAGAAAGATCGTAACGACGCGAAAGTGGGATAATTGGTGTACGCGAGACTTTCGCGAAACACACCGTTCTCCACGGGCAGACACAAACACCGGTCTCTTGTTCCAGTAGTCGAAGAAAAAGAAAAGAAACGTCGCCTCTGCCAGCCGATATCCAAATCCGTCTTGGCGAGATCGCATTTACGAGGGAGGAAACGTTCGAAGGACAATCCGATTACGTTCCTTCCACCGTCACTCGTTCTCTCCATTTCGTTCGGCAAATCTTGACTTTCTTTCGACTCGCCACCTCGAGAGAGAGAGAGAGAGAGAGAGTTTCTTTCTCCTCTCTTTACACAACGTCTTCTACTCACTTCTTCTTCGCTTCTCTCTGTTGCTTCGCGTTGCAGAAGTATCGGTACTTCCGGTACCGCGAGTTCTGAACCTTCCACAGCGTCTCGTTTATCTTCGCGGTGGTAGGAAACTTGGTGTTCGCCAGCAGCACTCTGATATCGAAGAAGAATTCGTTAATTCTCCACGAGTCTCGCCTAGCAGGCGTTGCCCCTTGGAAAGAAGATCACCTCTTTTTCGGAAGCGCCAAGTCCATGATGCGTTTCGTCGTTTTGGCAGCGAGTGTTTTCGGATGGATTCGCGGGGACGCCGGTGGTGCTTTTCTAAGGGCGGACCATTATGTATCTGTGATCGTTCGAAGGAATGCGTAATTACTCACGATGGATCGTATTTTTTGTTCTCGTGTTTCGGCTTTGCCATCACTTTCACTCTCTTCGACGCGCGCGCTTTTAACGCTGGTATACGGACGTTGAACGGCTTCGACTGTTAAGAAGTTATCACTGTTACAACGTCCCTGATAAATAATTGAGGACCTTGCAGTAGGACTGGTGCAGCTCCATTTTTGATAGTTTCTTAGTTATGACGTGTAATATACTTAAAAAGAATTCTACATTGTTTGGTGTACGTTTGATGCAAATCCGACAACAAACGAGCGACTTTTTTGTACAATACGAATGTAGATCTGGAGTAACTAACGTCTCACCTAATAAACATGCTTTTTATAAGGCTCTCAGATGTGCATTGACTGGGGATGAGGGTACTTCCACTTAAGGGGGTATTCTAGCCTAGAGTCTCATTTTTTCGTCCTTCTTAGGGATTTTTTTGTAAGGAAAGTATCTCTCAGAATCGGTATTTTGCATATTTCAAGTGAAAATAATCAAAACTGTCTGAATTATATATCATTTATTGCGGTCCTTTTAAAAAAGAGTGTCCTGCTGGCTGACACGATTCCGCCCATTCTGTTTATCCGAAATGAAACAACCAAAAGGATTCTTGATTAGTACGACTATGACTATGGTGTGAACCAGAATGAAAAAAAATAGAGAAAATTTACAAAATGACGGCACTTTGAATTTCTTCGATTTTTTTTTCCTCTTTCAGAGGCTCTAAAAATCAGAAAAATACATATTTTGGCATAATTCTGGTTCAGACGATAACAATCGGACAACTAGAACTTGAGATATCATGTCAGCCATTTAGAAAAACACGGTTTCGAGAGAAACGCGATTAAAGTTTCTCGTACCAGTTACACGAGAATGGTATACTTACGACTACGGTCTACATGTCGTCTTCTGTAACCATCTATAACTTCGTCAATTTTACGAATTCGGAAAAATCCTTCGACAGTTATACGTCTGCAAATGTCCACTTTCAGAAAATGTCAAAAAGAAAAATCGATTCTTTTGAAAAGTCTAGACTAGAATACCCCCTTAAGAATAACGTTACTTTTTACTGTGTGCACAGTTAACAAAAAGCACCCGTCTTTGTACACTTTGATGCAAGTCAGGGGCAGCTTCAGATTTGCAATAAAAATTTACGTACTCAATAACCACTACTTATTATGCGAAAATCTATGTATTTCAGTAAGCGTTCTCTTTTTAATGTTAAATCAAAACAATAATTTTATAAACACTTTCCTCTAATTTACTCGAATTTGGTAAAAATGGAGCTGCACCCCTTTATCTGCAAGGTCCTCGATTGCAGCATTGATAAATAAAGGGCAGATTTCAGTACGGAATCATTCGACGAGATTTCGATGGAAAATGTAATTGATCGAGAGAAGGTAACGTGCAGCCTACCTCAACGTTGATATTCTTCGTTTGAGTCCTCCTCCAGTTCGGCCGTGCCAGCTGGGTGATGTGTTCTTTGTGGGACAAATGGTCCATGGCGTATTTGATTCGGTCCAGCATGTTTGCGATTTTCCAGGCTCGTTTCTAGGCACGCTATCAATTTTCCTGCCCACGGATTTCTTTCTCGCCGGTGCTTCTTTCGGATGTTTCCCGACCCAACCTTTATTTATCCGACGCTCGACTTTCGCCGTTGCAGGTTGTTTAATTAAATTCACGTTTAATTAATCCAACGATACATCCGATATAATATAGACGTTTACACACACACACACACGTGCCTGCACACACACGTGTAAAAAGGAAGGAGAAGGGAGGGAAAGCTGGAGAAACTGGGCCACCGGCGCAATTTACCACCGCGAAACTTTCTTCCGTGTCTAACCCCTAATTTAGACGGGACAAATTCGACTGATGAACGCGCGTTCGAAAATCCACAGACGTCGCCGTCAGTCAGACGAGAACAAAAGAAAAATGACGCTTAATCCGGCCACGTTTCTATGAAACGCTACGCGACTCTCGATTCACCGTCGCGAGCGAATCCATACTATAAACCGTGTATTTGAAAATTCCGTTTGAACCTCGACGATAAGTTCTCCTTTTCCTTCGGCCACCGGTTTATACGTGAGAGTAATTCGGAATGAAGAATTGTTCTAAGCAGAAATTCATCGCGGAATGCAATCTCGCGCGGCGCGGAAAGGTTTAACGAGAGAAAGAAAAAAGATTAAAGGATCGAGTACGGTCGAATAGAAATTGGTATCGACAGGCGGTTTCTTTCGCGCTCTCTGCTTCTTTGTCTCTAGAATTTCGACGAAGCTCGCGGTGTACATAGCGGGGCCGTTGTTCCTGGCGATGGTTTAGCCAAGTTCCGGCGATGTTCCTGCCGAGGAAACATCGTTCCCACGCGAGAATTAACGCGGCGCGAGATTATTTCGACCAAGCCAGGAAAAATGTGGAGCAGAGAGACGGGGAGAGCATAGGGCATTTTCAATTAATAACACCGACACATGGAATAAATACGGTATTCCCAGAACAGCGGAGACCCGTCCCTCTATTATTCGACGCGTAGAACTGTGCAGGCTTCATTTGCAGTTTGTATTTCGCGACATCGATCGCGCGCGGGCGCGGGCTTTTGCAAGGAAAATAATCCATCGAAATATCAGGACGTGGCCTGATAATTGATGTATGAGTGTTCATTGTTCGTTTCGATGCTGTATGAAACGATGAATGGGATTTTTCGTGTTGCCCAAGGGGGAACGCGTACCTATTGCGTACACGCCATACACGGGAAACAAATGGAAGAGATACACAAGAGGGGGAAACAAAAAAAAAAACAAACAAACAAACAAAAGAGACAGTCCTGGAGGAAATTTTTTTTTGATCGTTCGACAAGGATTATACAGGGTAGGAGTTGGTCGAGAATTTCGAAATGAAATTTTCCCCGATCGAATCGATTACACGAGCAATTCCTTCGACTCCGAGGATCGTTATTTTCGGTGGATCAGGGGAAATATGAAAGAACAACGGGAGATGTAACTTCGTGGTCCAGTATTACGGACAAAAGCTCTCCTGATGAAGATCTCTTAAGGGACATCCGACTCGTTTTATTCCTTTCCATCCGTCTACGAACATGGGCCACTCACGAATCCTCCCTCTCTCTCTCTCTCTTCTTTTCTTCCTTTTTCGCCTTTTGCTTTCTCCGCTTTCCTCTTCCCGCTCGTACACCTTCCGCTTTTTCACCTTCCCTCTCTCGCTCTCTCTCTGTCGCGTTTTCTTGCTCTGTCAACCCCGCATGGGAAATCTCAAATACGAGTCTGTTTACCTGGCACTTGAAATCCCGGTGGATATCGGTGATAAGATTTTACTCCAACATCACCTTTCCCTGATCTTTATCAAACCGCTTCTTCATCCCAGCCGGGGTTGTAACTATCCTTCAGGGTTTAACGATATATACGCGATATCGCTGGGAATAGGTATATCATATTCGGCAGTGAGTTATGCCACCGCGAACGCGACGAAATTTCCACGGCAAAAACCTCCTCTCTCTGGTATTGCGACTCGGCGGAAAGCCAGCAACCCGGCTACAAGCTCAGGCGTTAATAAAAATTTCCCCCGTTCCACTTTTCTCTGCTCCGCGACGTTTCTTCCCTCGCAAAACTTCTTCTCGCGTTCTCTTCCGACTATCGAAATTTTACTTCGGCGAAATTTCTCGTTCTACCAGATGCATTTCGCCCCAGGGAAAATAGTGTCGTTGTTAACTCTGATCGTACTGTGATGCCCGGTTTGCTCCAATTCCTCGAAACTAGGAGCAGGTATTGGGGTATCACTGAGTTAAGACACTTAGGGATCGCCGTTGCGTGGAACAGAACTTTATCTAACAGAGATTTTTGACCATACGTGACGTGCGCGTGGTAGAATGGAGAATGAACGCGGAAATGGAGAAAATAGGGCTATTTAAGGGTTCTGGGAGGATGGACTTTGGGTTGCGACTATGTAGTCGAGTTGGAAGGTGAAGAGTAATGATGAAAGTGGGTGACTCGTTGTAAATACAGATAAAACTAAGGACTAACAGTACGAAATTTGGAAAGTTAGCGTTTTGTAAGCGATCGAAGAAGCGGTTTTAACGGACTCGATTTAATTTCACCGGCGAGAGGGGCGCGATGCGGGCAATTTTCCGCGCTCCGGCGTGAAAAGATGGAAGAAGGAGACGCCTGGATCGTTATCGAAACAGTTTGCATACACACGGACACGCGGTAACACGCGGCCGGATAAGCCGGCGTTTCTAATTAAATTTTAATTACGGGTCACGGGACAGGACGTTATTGGCTCCGGGGCAAAGGAAGTCTCGTTATTAGCGGCCACTCTTCCGGAAATCATTGTTCGGCGCGTGCACCTGGAAATCGCAACGCGATTCCAGAAGGGAACGTTTCCATCAAACGCTCCTCCTCCTGGATAACATTCGCGATGATCATTTTTCCAAAGATGATCTGTTTTCACAATACGTACACTACCGTGCATAAGTATTTGGACACTATTGGATTAATGGGTTAAATAAATAGCGTTCACTGTGAATTTACTTAAACGTGTTTTATTTCTTTGGCCCGGAAGGACGTCTTTACGCTTAGAAAATCGTAGTCGAAGTGAAGTGAAAAACTCGTAAAGGTACTGTTGCGTCGTGGACCTTGATCAAGTCTTATGATCAGGTGTTCTGGCACAGGTTGATGATTGTTCTGGCTGGTTCGAGGTGTATTAAAACTTCGTTGTTGGGTTAGATGTTTTTTATTTTGATTAGATGTTTTCCTTTGGTTAGATGTTGTAGATGCTTTGATGAATTCTTGTTTTGATTAGATGTGTCTTAGATGGTTAGTTGAATTTGGATTGTTCATTTCGTGACGACGTGTCTCGTGCACTCGTCTGACAGTGATTCCTGGTTTTCAGGTGTGTAGGTGTATATATAGACATTAGATTGGTTCTGACTCGGGCTGAAATTTCACACAAACGTTAGTTCCATCCTTACTAACGTCTAGAAATTGTAAAAGTCCAACAGCAAAAATCCTTACCGCCAAGTTGGGGTTCAAGCATGGTCAGGCGTCCTCGCTCATTCTCCGGCTTGTTCTTTGGTTGGTGGTTTCGATGGAAAGTAGAAACCTGGTCTGATAGGGGTATAAGCTACAAAGCTGAGGCACCCTGAGTCCTTCTAAGAACGACCCACACTAGTGGATTGGTTCTGATTGGTGGTTGTGCTATGGAGGTGGAAAACGTGGTGTGTTCTACTATTGGTCGACGAAAGCTGTGACATTTGTAACGAATGTTTTATGGTCCCGAGTGTTTTTGGGACCTATTGTCTGAATGTCGCGCTAATGAGTCCACGGGGGGTATATTGCGGTCTTCCGAACGTCGGCACCTCGGTCTGGCGGCCAAATGTGACTAAGTAATCCGCCGAACCGAGACTTCGTTGCGTCCTAATCAGGTCGCAACAGGTACGACAGAAAGTCTATTGTCCACTTGAGAAAAAGAGACCAGGACTGACTCAGCCTTTTACCCACGTCACTTAGGTATAAACAGTTACAGGCCTATGGGTCCGATGACATTTGGTCTATTATGTTATTTTCACTAGCAGTGTTTCTCATATATATAACTGGCTGACGCATTATTATTAGTAATAATCCAACAGACACTATGCAGGAAATACAGTTTAAATAAAATTCTCTAATATAGTTTTGGCTTGCGTAATGTTTATAAGTACCAGTGAAAATAACATTTCACATGAATTAGTGTAAATGAAAAAGCAATAACTGAAATCGGTGGAAAATTGATGTTGCGAAAACAGTTGAGTTTATCATCAGACTTCAGGTGTTTGTCGAAAATTTCATGAAAAATTATTACCCCAATATGTTGTGCCAACCGTGAAACATGGAGGTGGTAATGTAATGTTTTGGTGCAAATAAAGTGGACAATTTAAATAACGAACGCAATATTTCATAATTTTCATTAATTTGTTGGTAAATTTATCATCGTATACTAGATCCTGGATCTTCTAGACCTGAAGGACATTCCTTGTTGCTGATTATAGGTAGAAATATTGCAATATAATAGACATATGAACCTTTTTAATTAGATCGCATCGAGTGTCCAAATACTTACGCACGGGAGTGTATACACTTTGACACTAGGTTTACGGGACGCGCCATTTTCACGCATTTCGAATATCACGAGGACAACTACAGAAACCGTTTACATTTCTCTCCTACCACTTATGCTTATTTTATAATTTTATAGAAATTGTCAGAAAAAGTACTCTGACTCGGAGTAGGGTGGGCGTAAAGTTAATTGAACGTTTCTACGTTTCCACAATAATATATTTTATTCAAAGTCTATATCCAAGTTATTCAGGTGTTCTTCGCAAAAGTATACGTTAAGGGGGTCTTCTAGTGTGACGGCCGCTTTTGCTAATTTATTACAGAAGTACGGTAACAGGTATTAACACGAGCTTCATTCCTATATATTTACTTGTCCTTGAAGAATCGTTGCAAATTTTTTTTGTTGAAAAATAATTAAATATGGCT